TTGTCGCGATAAGATCTGCCTGACGGGCAGATCAGACTATCGCAGCTTTGATTGAGGTATCACTTGCTGTCTCATCAAGGCAGGACCATTGCGATGAAGATCGCACTGTCGTGATGGTAACTTGCTGATGTGGCAAGATTGGTATACTTCGCCAAGATCGTGGTGATCACTTGCCGATGTGGCGAGACAGGATTACCACATGTACTTGATTGGTGACAACTGCTGACATGGCATATTCTCCAACTGTCGAACCTTGAGGCTGGCACAGATACAACATTGCGGTATACAGGCATGTGGGATGATCTGGACGCGACGCTGACGTGTCACTCCCGCATCATTGCTGACGTGGCACCTTGCCACGTGCGGGTCGGGGTTGACATTTGATAGACCTGCACGAACATTCCGACGGCAGTGGCGGTACAGCTTATTGTCGTTGACAGCTGTAGTGCCGTCTGATTAATTGGGTTGTTAGGAGGTACAAAACGTGAATGATTGCAGGGGGGGAAGAAGGATACTGACGATTTGATTGTTGTGTTGGTGTACTTACCCTGTGTTGTTTGTTTGTGGTGTTGTACTCACTTGCTGATTGTCTCTGATCAAAGGCCTGACGTAATACTGTAAAAGTCTGAAAGAGCAAAAGAAAAAGAATACAGCGTTAGTAATATTTTTTTATTATTATTGCTGATTATTTATTGATTTCTTTATTTATTGAAATGTCTCAAACCGAGAGTGCTGCTCAGACCCCGATGACAAACTTACCTGAAGTTCGCACACGTCAACAAGTTGAAGAGCGGAAAAAGGTCCTTCTTGCCCGCCTGGAAATCTTGTTGTCTGACTTGCATGATGCTGGGGATGAGGCAGAGGCACATGTGCGGTCATTGTATGATCTTGAGGCCACGCATGCTGCCCTGGTAGCCGCTGAAACTGGCACCGAAGTCGTGGAAGTCCAGGGTGTACTTATCAAATTCCGACAGGCACTTGACAAGTACATCATGGACCAATATATTGAAGTTGCAAATGGCAGTGAAAAGAAGGAACAGCCAGCAACTCTGGCTACCGTAAATGAGAACATCAAGCAGTTGGAAGAAGCACTCGTCAAAGAAAGAATAAGGAAAGAAGAACTGGAAAAACAACAGAAAAGAATAAATCAGCAAGAACAAAGAGTGCAGGAGATTAGACAAAATGTTTTGGTGATTGGAGAGGATGGACAAAATGTATCATTGCCACAAGTCATCACCTACCTTGCTCATTTAGAAACCAGAATTGAACAGCAAGGTCTGCAGATTGAAGAGCTCACTGCCGGCCTGCGTACTGTCACCAACCTGGTGAAAGGAAAGAACAAGGTAGAAAAAACTCAAAACGAAGAGAAGCCAAAAAAGTTGATGAGTGATGCAATGACGTCATTAAGGGTCGCCACAGTTAGCAATGAAGAATCTGGGGGACCTTCAGATCCATCAAGTCCACCACCTAACGGATCACCAAAAGGAACGAATGAAAACACGGCAGAGCCAGAAAAGCCGAAGAAGAAAGAAAAGGTGAAGATGAAATTGCCTTTCACGTTCAGTAATAAGAAGGATGAAAACTTATTACTGTGGATCGCGAAAATACAAACCTACGTCGGGACGACGCCAGTGGAAGAAGAATCACAGGTAGCCTTCTCCACGTCGTGTCTTGGAGGAGAGGCCAAAGAATGGGTCCTGGCCGAAGCCAACGCGGCAGGTTTTGACGACATTGGTAAGTGGGCCGGAACAATGACTCTGAAACAGTTCCTGAACAAAATCAAGGAACGTTTCCTCGACAAAACAACGGCCGACAAGGCCTTCGATCAGCTCACTAATATAGGACAAAGACATTGGACGTCTGTAGAAGCGTTGTCCCGTGAGGTCGACCGATTGTTGCAAGTACCGGGTCTAAATCTGCATGACGATCAGATCTTGTATATCTATGTCTGGGCCCTACCTGAACCTATACGAGGTCAGTTAGTGGCGGAGTCAAAGTCCGGTAAGTATAAGTATAGACAGTTTCGCGATCTGGCTCTCCAGAGAGAGCAAATGACTTCTCAGGTTAAACAATCATATGCATCTGTGGTGAAATCTGGTGGTCATGCAGGTACAGGTAAGCGAGTGTTGTGGCGCCAGAAGCGCGCAGATCACACCCTTGTCGTCTTTGATGACGACACCGTAGAGAAGTGGCCATTGGAGGCCGAGGGTGTGTCAGGCGGCAACGGATCCGGAAAGGGGGAAGTTGTTGCCGCCATGGTTAAGAAGGGAGGACCAAAACCTGGTGTGAGGAGGAGGCCCCGATCTTTCCCCAAGCATCCCGGCATCACGGCTGGGAAGCCTTGGGAAAGGATGGACATAGACCAAAAGACGTGGCAAGAGCGAATGGATAACGCCCAGTGTTTGAAATGCGGGACCGCAGGGCATGTGATAGCCTGGTGTCCGCTTATACGAAACCCAAAAGCCAGTCGCCAGTAGAAGTAACATCCGCTTCTACTAAGTTGAAGGATTGAGGAATAGAGAAAGGTAAGGCGCCTACTAACCCTTTCAATCCTTCAACTCGCAGGGCAGAGGATGATCCTTCTCCAGCCCCTCGTCCAGATCACCCTGAACCTTTCTTATGTTCCATTTTTCTGGACGACTCCCTTGACGAGTTGAGCTACGAGTTGCTAGCACTGCGAAGCTCGTGGGCTAAGAAAGCAAAGTCTAAGGGTGAATTACTACTCGCTGATATAGAAATTGCACACGTACGCGCGGGTGCACTGTTAGATTCAGGATCTACACGATCCTATATTTCCGAGAAGTCTATCAAAAAGCTACATCTCGGAATGAAGGTAAAAAACTTGTCTCAACCCATCACGTTTATCATAGCAGACAAGAGCACGATCACTGTCTCTCAGTATGTCGATCGTGTAAAATGCTATTTCCGCACGAGGGACGGAAAGAAGATTGCACATGAAATTTCGTTTTTGGTAGAAAAGAGCTTGCCCTTTGATATGATTCTGGGAATGGATTGGCACGAGGAGGCCAACCCAGAAATCAACTTTAAGGATAAGGTAATACAACTACGAGATGTGCAATCCGAATTGAAAACCATTAAGTTGTATCATAAGTCTGGCTCTGACTCTAACTTATCGTTCTGTTGCATGAGTTATCCAGCTTTTCGATCCATGGTCAGGAAGAAGAAATTGGAACAGGAAGTGATGATGGTATTGGTAAAACAAGTTGGTGAAACTTCCGCTTCCTATCCACCCTCGATAAAAAAACTCTTAGATGAGTATAAAGATCTATCTCTAGAACCTACGGGGATTACTGAGCGTGCTATAAAGCACACTATAGAAATCATTCTTGGAAGTAAGACTCCCAAGGGCCCTATTTATAGAATGTCTCATAGGGAACTTGAAGAACTGAAGAAACAACTGTAGGACTTATCCGAAAAAGGATGGATTCGCCCGAGCTCCTCTCCTTATGGTGCGCTTGTCTTGTTTGTGCCTAAGAAGGAAGGTGAGCTACGTCTCTGTATTGACTATAGAGGGTTGAATTCCGTCACTGTAAAGAATGTCGAACCCCTACCACGTATTGATGATCTGTTGGACCAGTTGCAGGGCTGTAAGTATTTCAGCAAGATTGACTTGAAGTCTGGATACCACCAGATTGAAGTAGATCCGGCTGATCAGCACAAGACCGCTTTCCGAACAAGGTATGGCCATTACGAGTTTCTGGTAATGCCTTTTGGTTTGACCAACGCCCCAGCGACCTTTCAAAGATCCATGAATGAATTATTTCGTCAGTGGTTAGATCAGTTCGTCATTGTCTATCTTGATGACATTCTAGTGTATAGTAAGACACTAGAAGATCACGAAAAACATTTACGTCTAGTACTTGGGAAGYTACGCGAGGGTAACTTTAAGTTGAATYCCAAGAAATCCGAGTTYRCTAGGACTGAAGTTTTATACTTGGGACACGTAGTGAACGAAGAAGGCCTCCGGCCTGAAGAAAAGAAGATCTCAGCAATTCGAGATTGGCCACAACCCAAGACTGTCACTGAGTTGAGATCCTTCCTTGGATTGGCCAGCTATTACCGAAAGTTCGTTAGAAACTTTTCACAAATAGCTGCACCCATGAGAAGACCGTTGAGAAAAGGAATGATATGGTTGTGGGACAAAGATTGTGAGTCTGCATTCAGGAAACTGAAATATGCATTAACTCACTATCCCGTTTTAAAAATTGTTGACCCTTCTCTTCCCTTCATTGTCACAACTGACGCGAGTCAGTATGGGATTGGCGCCGTCTTACAACAAGACGATGGCAAAGGATACAGACCTATTGAGTTTATGTCTGCCCGTTTGCCTACTGAGAAAGTCGCCAACTCCACTTATGAAAGGGAATTGTATGCCTTAGTCTGTGCTCTGAAAACATGGAAGCACTATCTATTAGGAAGACATTTCACYGTGTATTCAGACCACTCTACCTTGCAGTGGATAAAGACACAGCCAAAGCTTTCTGATAAGCTGGTAAGATGGTCTGCATTCCTCGACACCTTTGACTTTGAACTAAAAACTATCAAAGGAAAGTCTAATGTAGTTGTAGACGCTCTCTCCAGAAGAAGTGACTTCTTTGGCACTATTGTCTCCTATCTAGACGTGGGAAGTAATTTGAAAGAGCAGATACGCCAGGGATATGCCACTGATCCTATTTGGAAACCTATCCTGGACACCATGGTCAAAGAGCCTTCACTACTTCCCCAATATAAGATTGTCGACGGTTTGCTTTTCTTGATTGACCAAATTGAACAAAGGTTATGCATTCCTGATAAAGAAGAACTTAAAAGTATGATAATTGGGGAGTGTCATGATTTTGAGGGACACTTTGGATTCAAGAAAACCTACGCTGAGGTAAGAGAACGCTTTGACTGGAAGGGTTTAAAAGAAGATGTACTTACGTAYGTCCGCAYTTGTCTAGTATGCCAGARAAACAAACCTTCACATGAGAACCCGCTTGGACTACTTAGACCATTGCCGATCCCTAGTGAACCAGGTGAGTCGATKTCAATGGATTTTATGACTCTCACCAAAAGTCGCAATGGAAATAGTCAAGTTATGGTTATTGTAGATCGTTTCTCTAAGTATGCTATGTTTATTCCCTTACCTGCTGAAGCTAAAACTGAACTTGTGATTCAGAAGTTTCAGATGCGATGGGTAACCGAGTATGGATTTCCCTTGACTATCGTATCTGACAGATATTCTCGATTCACAAGTATGCCATGGCRAAAGCTGATGGAAGCATACGGTACGCGATTGACCATGACGTCAGGGCGACACCCTAAAACGAATGGACAAAGCGAACAGATGAACCGTTTGTGCCAACAGCTCTTGCGAATGTATGTAAGACCCGATCAAGTTGATTGGGATGAGAACTTACCCAAGATTGCCAGTGCATATAACAGTAGTGTACATACCGCTACCGGACGAAGTCCTAATGCACTGCACAAGAGTTGGAAACCCAGACGTCCCATTGATGAACTAACCCGGGACCAATTTCTGAGGTTACCACCAGGGACAAGAGAGTATGCAGTTTTTTTTCAAGAAGATATCAAGAAGGTGAAAGAAAATCTAAAGAAAGCCCAAGAACAAATGATTATTCAGGCCAATAAGCATCGACGGCCTGCTACCTTTAAAGTAGGAAATTTTGTTTGGGTTAAGTCAAAGGAATTTTCACTCGAAGAAAACGTATCTCAAAAACTGCTACCCGTCTACTTTGGACCCTGGGAAGTTCTCAAAGTAATAGGAGATGAAGAGGGACCTTGTTATCAAATTGACATCCCTTCTCATCTCAGAACTTATTCTGTTTTTCATGCGTCTAAACTATTGCCCTATGTAGAAGGAGATGATTTTCCAAACAGACCATCTATGAATCCCCCATCCATGGACGGAGAATATGAGATTGATAGGATCATAGAACATGGGTTTTTCTATACAGGAGCACGGGGCAGACCACAAAAGCAGTTCAAAGTACGTTTCAAATTCCAACAACCATCAGAGGATCGATGGTTTAGTAAAAAACAACTGCTTGAAACCGCACCAGATATTGTCGCTGCCTATGAACGAGGGTTAAGATTATAATTATTTCTGCGGTGGAACTCGAAAGCGGGACGGCAGGAATGTAATAACCCTGTTCAGCAGTCGACCTGGGGCCCAAACCTTAGCCCCAGGCCACGCAGTCTGTGGAAGACTGCGCCGGGCTGTGTAACCAACACATGCCCCGGCCTGAGTAAACTGCGTACGGCTGTGGGACCGAACGCCAAGACTTAGGAAAATCAAAGGTCAAAGTCAACTGTCAGTCAAAGTACCATGCCAGGTCTTGGATCAGATTCATTCACTTGTTGAGTGCAGGTACCCAGACTACGACCCAGGCCAAAGAAGATACAGTTGCAGATCTATCCAGACCCTCCAGGCAGGGAGATCTGGACGGCTGAGGTTGGATACTACCGGGGATCAGACCCCGAGTCAACACTATAAGAGCATTGGCTCCTTGACTTTGGGAATTCTGGCTGTCTTGCGTTGACGCTGTTTTCAGCGCCTGACTCTCGCAGCCTTGGTTTGACGCTGCGAGACTGGAGGAAGGCCGGCATTTGCTGACATGGTGAGTTACTGCTGGCTGGCTTGCTATCTGGCTGGCGACTGTCTCTGACTGCCACGTATTGCTGCTGACGTGGCGTTGCCACGTGTCGAACTGTCGGATCCTTACGACCGGCTATTGATCATCGGCTTCGTTACTTCAAGGAGGGGTCGTGACTATTCGGGATGAGATCAGGACTTGTGAGGTGTTGTGAATACGTACCTGATGTCTTCATGACRACGAGGCTCCAACGCTAATTAATGTATTGATCGGTGCCACGTGGCACCCGGAGGCTGAGTCTCTAATTTGTATTCAGATCATTACTGATGTGGGGTTGCTGTCGTAGGAGGAGCCCGGAGAAGGAGTGGGCCTTATCCCTCTCCCTTGTCTAATCTCCCCCACCTCTGTTCGTCCGTGTATGATTATCTCACCCCCCACTTTCTTACTGGATACTATTGTCGTTGAAGATCTATCATTGGTTCGATAATCTTGGCTTTCAGTGTCGACATTGTATCCACGACTTGGGTTCATTGCATTTGAGATGTCCCTGCATGTGTTTTGTATGGGAGCGCTCTGGGCCCATTTCTGATCCAGAATGCGTTGCACGCAAAACTTCAAGGCATAGATTGAAGGTCATTGAACTAATGAGAGACCGTGTTGGTGTGTTAGAAAAACATTGGGCCAGAGTCGTGCACGAGGATATTAACAGTTTTGGTGCAGTTGGAAGCAAATTGTGGGGGCGGGCCATCACAGTTATAAGGATGTGGAGGGGAGATTTTTCGGGAGCAAATTCCTATTGCTGTTAGCATATTCAAGGATATTTTACAGACCCGTTTTTATCCTTTTTCAGAACTGGAGAACATCCTGACATATTATTATATACGTCGACACCATCCTGACATGTTATTATTATACGTTGACATCATCCTGACATATTATTATTATACGTTGACATCATCCTGACATATTATTATTATACGTTGACATCATCCTGACATATTGTTATACGTTGACATCATCCTGACATATTATTATACGTTGACGTGTTTTGGGCAGGTTGTAAACAGGTACATTGACACAGGTGTGGCTGAGCTGGTCCCAGGTGTTCTGTTCATTGACGAGGTAAGAAACACTGTTGCTTGCTGTTGGCCTTTCGAAAAAAGGCAGAAGAGGACTTATGGCCTTGGTCCCTATGGATGGACCGATGGTTATGATTATTCTGTTACCTAAAGCAGCAGAGACTGTTTTCTTCCCTCCTGCTTTTCTCACATGTCTTGACATTTCCTCTTCTCTCAGACATCGAATTGGACACTACACAGCTTCACAATGTAGGCATTTCCACTTATAACATAACGGTTACTCATGGGGGCAAAGCCTCAGGGAGGTCCTGCTTGCAGTGTTTTGCGATAAATTGCAGAGTCGGGGTTTTCGTTCAAGGGGTGGCAAGGTGCTGCCAGGTCATTTCATTTTGCCTTTTTGTCCCTTGATGTAAACTAAAACGCCCACATTTTTTAAGGGCGAGTCTCCTAATGGCACAATGTCATTCAGCAGTGACTGGTGCCACAGTGCAAGGCTATTTCACATGGATGATGTGGAGGCGAGCTTGCTGTCCACGGCCAGGTGTCAGTGGGCTTCCATCCAAACTCTTTTGCGAGAGTAAGTTTAATTCTATTATATGTGAAGAGCATTGAATGCCGAATGCCAATTCTACCCCTGACTGGTGTGCAATCAAAGGGATTGCCACATATAGGGGTGTGTGCGTGTGCGTGTGCATGTGTGTCACACACACACACACACAGACAGAGACACAGAGAGAGAGAGAGAGAGAGAGAGAGAGAGAGAGAGAGAGAGAGAGAGAGAGAGAGAGAGAGAGAGAGAGAGAGAGAGAGAGAGGAGGATGAGCTGGCAGCCATAGCTGCATGTACTTTGAACTCGGATAATTTTGTTGTTTTGGGAACAATCATTTCGGTTTCCAGCTGATTGGCATCTCGCTGCCTCGTTTCAGTGCTCTGTGTGAAATTTGGTGTCATGCACGGTTGCGATTGGAGCCAAAGTTGAGGTGGATCATTGCGAGAAAAAAAATTGCACTGCTATTTTTTCTCTTTGGCAATGTGATCTCACTTGCCTTTTCCATGTCCCGTTGGCTGGATTTGATCACGTGGTTGTGGAACAGGTGCACATGCTGGATATAGAGTGTTTCACATATCTCAACAAAGCGCTCGAGAGTTCGCTGGCACCCATTGTAATATTTGCAACCAACCGCGGAATTTGCTGCATCAAGTAAGTAATTAGTAATTACCACTTGTCTTTTGCAGACGGAATCAGCTGCCTCCGTTGACCGGGCTCTTTTTCGCCCATCCTGTCATATGTGTTTTTTTTGGGTGAAACTGAAAATCCTGCTGTGAGGTCTGAATGTTATATCTGGGCTTTAACAGTTCACATTGAGCCGTGCATGTATAATAGTGTATCTGACGCGGCACTTGATGAGTATCGTATTGTTTTCCATTGTTACGATAACGTAACAAAAAGTACTGCTATGCCTGATAATTGAAATGTGCAGGGATGGCATTTTTCTTGAATTTCCCTCCTTTCTTTGGTTGGGGGGAGTAGAGTGAAGTGCGCGCTCTGCAAGCGCCTTGGGCAGTTGAGCCAAATTCATCCCTGCGCTTGAATGGATGGTACGAAGTCCTCCAGCTTTTCATACCTTTGAAGAACTTCCAGCCTTCAAAGAAGCAAATAACAACATTGAAATTCAGACATAATTGTTGTTATATAAACTTATTTTGCTGTTAATTAAAGTCGCGTGGTCCCAGTTCTAATAAAGTTGCCCGAAGAATATATAGCAGGAGCTGGTGCCCTCAACCGGAGACTGGGAATAATAGGTGGTGTCAATAGCTCCTGCTATTCTTCAGAATGAGATCTCTGCACCTTGACCATCCGTAATTTTATGGAAGCTCCGCCGAAGCTGTGATTAGGTCAGTAATAGTCAAATGGATTCGTGGAAAGGACTGAAGTAGACCACCGGCTGTAATAGCCCTTTGGGCCCAGGGAAATGGCAGAAGTTGCCCCTACGTAGTACAGTGTACACCTTCGTGAACAGATACCCACGTGGATTATTGACAACTGAATGTCCAGATGCCAGTTGCGTTATTACGACTATGTTGTGGTCGTTTGTCCGCCCTGATTTTCATCATCATTCTTAGAACTGAGAAGGTACAGAAGGTGATATTTCTTGCAGTGCACTAGCCTTCCATAGAAAATATTCTTCTTGAATTTGACTATGTCGAATAAAGAATCTTTCTAACATAGCCTTTCTAGAATCTCATGTTTTAGGGGAAATTATGCTCCTTGGCTTACTTCCACCCCCTGGTAGGGGGGGTTAAAACTTAAAACGCTCGTGAATTGATGGTGTCTTTCTTCGGTTACGGGTGCAGACTCCAAACCCTGCCACTCTTTCTGCACATGGAGGGAGGCAGGCCTGCTATCCTGCTCCCTTCATCAGTAAGTTTGTTGTGCATCAGTTTTTTTTTCAACCCTTCAACCTCTCTTGGGTTTCAAAGTTTTGAGTGCTTCTTGGGTCGAGTGTTGTGTAGTGGAACGCGAGGCTCCCTTGAGTTGGTTTGTTGTGCATCATGTTGCGAGCTTGGGTGTCATCATCTCAGACATGACCATTGTCATCAAGTCCCCTCTCTGCGATTCTCTTCAAGCCGAGAAGGTCACCTGCCCTTTCACACATCTTTCCTTGCTGGTTGAGACTGGGCTGCTATACCTGCCTTTTTTATTTAATATGCAACAATCTCTTTCCTCATCACCTTTCTCTTAGCGACGAGCACTCGAGCATGTCCTGTTCTGTAAGTATCCGAGATGTTCATGTCTCACGGTGTTCTGTCCGCATTGGCTACGCCCACCGTCTTGAAAGTTCCATCAAAGATTTGAAGATGTCCCCCCCCCTTTTTGGTCTCCTGTCAATTTTCAGTTCTTGACCCGTCCCAACCTCCCGGTTTTGAAATTTTGAGTGCTTCTTGGGTCTGTTAAACTCTGTTTCCTTGAGCCTCGTTTCAGTCCACAACACTCGACATGAAGATCTTGACTCTGAATACATCCGCCGCTACTCCGGTCTACTTCCTACTACTAGCTGAGCGGCTATGGCCGCCTTCCCTCCCCAGCACATCGCTGCCCAGCAGGGCGTGCATGCTACTCGCAGATAGCGCATAAGTGCTTCAGCATCACTTCCACACTTCTCACGAACGAGCAATCTGCCTGAAATGTGGCTGGCCAGTCCTTATATTGACTTTGACTGAGCCTGAACTCGTCCCAGCCTCTGCTTCCTTTGGCTTGACTTGGTACTGGTACCACATGCTCAAGGCCTGTTTGCTTCAGAATGTCGAGTCCTGGTACCTCCCTGAATTTTCCCTTCGTGCGCTGCTGCTTGGGCCTGTGAGTCACGACTTCTCTTTGCCTATGAGACACGACCTTTTGACTTCGAGACGTGACTTTTGCCTGTGGGATATGACCTTTCACCGTGAGATGTGACTTTTGCCTATTGGAGGCGACCTTTGCCTTTGGGATGTGACTGTTGACTGGGTGCCTGTTGGACTTGACCTCTGGGGCACCCGACTTAGCTTTTTTTTCTGAAATTGGCCGCTTTGGCCCCTCTCCGCCTGAGACTCTGACCCTGAGATTCGAATTTGGGGTCTGCATCATGGAATGCCTTTCAGTCCAAATGCATGTAGAGTATTGTGTAGTGGAGCGATGCTCCTTGTTGATTGGGATGCTACCTGCGAGCCTCTCCGCACATCCGGAAATCATCTGATTGCCACAGCGTTTGTGTCCTTGCCTCAGGCAAAAAGCAGGGTCTTGCTTCTGCTGTTACCTTTTCCGGCTGTCTGGCAGGGCTAATGCATTTGGGCAGAGCTGCATCTGCCCACTTGATTATGCAAAGTTTTCCATTTTGAGTTGTGAACGGATCCTAGGCTTATTAGGCGAGATACTCAAAAGGGAAGAATCTCCAATCTACCGAATGGCAGCTATCTCAGACTAAATACTCAGTCAGAAACTGGAGCAGGATGCATCAGTCTACTGAAATGGGCGTTTCAAACTAAGTACCGAGTCAAAAACGGGAGCGGGCTGAGGTTTTGCAGGATAGATAGGGACAGGGGGAATCTCGTTACCAGGTACAGGTGAGTACATTAAGGCAGTAATAGCATCATCCTTGGGTGGTGGCTGTGTTTCAGCGGTTGCCTTCTGGATAGTATTTGGCTGCCATGCATGTGTTTTGCTGAAGTCCTGGAGGCACGGACGATCGGATACTTGTGCCCGTTCTGAATCGTCACAGTGGCATAGAAAACAGGGGGCGACTGAAAAATCGGCAGCTTGACATGGCATTTCCCCAAAAGAAAGAAAACTGGGTCCATGTGATGCATGCAATTGTGAGGAAACGGAGCATGAGTTTAAATCCTGGTGAAGAAAAAGGCCCTCTTTGAAAATGTCGCTGTTTTGGGTAAAAATGGTGAAGCAGCTGTGCTGACCTTTGTGGGGCTTTGTTTCTTGCCTGAAGGTGCACGCACACAAACACATCTTATCGTCGGTTCGCCAGTTGCCAATTTTTGTCGTTTGGAGAGCTTCCACTCTTCCGGCGGCCTCGCCGCTGAGTCTTGCCCAAATTTAGTGATACTGGTTAGAAAAGTGGCGTGTCCAGCATGTGTGTGTGTGTGTGTGTGTGTGTGTGTGTGTGTGTGTGTGTGTTCGTGTGTGCATGTGTTCGTGTGTGCACGTGTGTGTGTGTGTGTGTGCGTATGTCTGAATGTGTGCATGTGTGTGTGTGTATGCGTGGGCAGGGGGGTGTGCTTGTGTGTGTGCTTGTGTGTGTGCATGCATGGGTGCATGCATGCATGTGTGTGCGTGGTTGTGTGTGGGTGTGGGTCGGTGTCCGTGTGTGTGTGTGTGTGTGTGACTGTTTTAAGTTCCAATTGAGTGACAATCTTGTCCTTTCTCATGATTGAAACAGGGGTACTGATCTCCCAAGCCCTCATGGTATTCCAGTTGATTTGTTGGATCGCCTTGTCATCATTCGTACGCTACCTTACACCCCAGCGGAGATGGTTCAGGTAAGTCAAACAGCGATTTGCCACGCTGTGCGCACTTGCCTCACTCTGTCTCTCCCTTCCGCCCAAGTTTTGCTGGATTGTTAGCCATGATGATGTTTGTGAATTGGCTGTAGTGTTTGCCACCATTATTCAACCTTCTTTTCCACACACTTGTGACCGAAGGTTTATCAATGTTCTCTGTGTACCGACTTTGGCGCAATGATGCTTGCAATGGCAGTAGCTTGCACTGGAAAAATTGCAAGAAGTGCCGTAAACCAGAAACCTAATTATTTGATTAGCATGTCTCTTGCCACACTCACTTTTGTCTTTATGTTTTCTGGTTGGTATGAATTTTCTCTCTCATGTTTGGGACAGATTCTGGCCATCCGGGCACAGGTGGAGGGGTTAGTGGTGGATGAAGACAGCTTGGCGTACCTTGGAGAGATTGGAGAACGTACATCGCTGAGGTGAGGCCTTGTGCTTCATCTGCCTTTTTGTTATGCTTGTTCCTGCTCTTTATGTAGTGTGTGTATCACTTGTAGCTTTAACCCCCAAATGTTCATGAAATATAGGCGGGCTTTGCATGGGGGGATCCTTGTGCCCTTCATCTGTCTTTCTATCATGACTGAAGGTCATCTGCTTTGAAAACAATTAAGGAATTAGCATTAAAGGCTTGCCTAGCATGGTATGTGTTCCACTGTAGCAAGAGGGAGCATGACTCTGCATGCATGCGCTAATGAACTGATCGACACTTGTTTGAGTGTGGTGTGGCTCTCTGTTTTTCACATTTTGTATCCCTCTCCATATATGTGTGCTTCTTTTGCTGTGTGTGTGTGTGTGTGTGTGTGTGTGTGTGTGTGTGAGAGAGAGAGAGAGAGAGAGAGAGAGAGAGAGAGAGAGAGAGAGAGAGAGAGAGAGAGAACATGAAGATTTGTGTTTTGGACTGTTTCTGGTGTTATTGACCTGTTGTTTGTGCTTGGCCTGAGGAGACGAGTTTCCTGATAAGCTAGTACAGTAAGGAGTGTGCACTAGGCAGTATCATGTCCGTGGCAGTGATGTTAAAGGGTCATAATCAGACTCGAAACGACTCAAGGTCATGATCGTGCAGTTATGGTACGAGTGCCTCTGGATGGTTCGGCATGGGTCCCACTTTCTCAGGTCAGAGAGTTGCTCCTGTCCTTCCCATATCTGAAGCCAAACTCTTGCCATCTTTTGAAGGAAGTGTATTTGGAGCTAAGAATCAACGGAATGGAAGACCACAAGTTATCTCGTAAATGCATGTTCGTAATTGACTCTGCAGATTATGGGGAATATAACAGCTCACCTGTATGGTAAGGTCCTACCTATGTTGATTCTTTATTTCTCGCTGCTGACAGCCAAGATCATTGGTCAGATTGTATGGTAAGGTCCTACCTATGTTGATTCTTTGTTTCTCGCTGCTGACCGCCAAGATCATTGGTCAGATAGATCCGAGAATGGGTGTAAGTGGGACCACGGCACTGACCAAGCTGGTACGTATCTGCTTGTGCCTCCTCTCCTTGTTCTTTGCCGTTTTGTTGTTGTGGGTGAAGCCACGACAGGTCATCTAGTCGATGACTGGTCATTTTCTGTAGCGCAGTGGGTCGACCGACTAGTTGGAGTGACGACCTATTTTCTCCTGTTTTTTTTTTTTTTTCGATTTTGCAGACATGTGGTACAACTGTTAACACCGGGAAGCATAATGGCAAAGTCAAATGGAAGGGACGAAATTGAAAGGGTATGCTTCCAAACCTTTTGACCCTACCTTCCTGCCGTCTGTATACCTCAACTTGCGTGCTTCTGCCTGACCTTTGCATCCCGTCATTACTGGCGGCCCTGTGCTTCCCTCTTGTTTGACTTCTCCCTTGTCATCCGTGCATGTCCTCTGGCAGCGTTTGACACCCTTTACCTGTGCCGTCTCCATATCTTCAGCTTTTCCTCTACCAGGTTCGCTGGACCTCCAATCTCGGTTCCTCTCTCTCTCTCTCTCTCTCTCTCTCTCTCTCTTCTCTTATACACATCTAGATGTGTATAAGAGACAGGCATTTGAGATGTCCCTGCATGTGTTTTGTATGG